GCCCTTTGATGGATGGAATGGTAAGAACTTGGGTAGGGCCCACGAAATTTAGGGCACATGACCCACTCAAGGGACCCATTAAGATATGGAGGATAAGGCAACTTTGGAGTTAATGCCTCCCTCCCCTGGTACTTGACTCATACCTCCTAGTCTATGGTGTGAGTGGTCTTCGCCTAGCTGTGAAGGGCTGGCCCATCCTTACCCCTTATACTTATAGGACCCATTGCCACTACATTGTATGAAGTCAAATTACAAAACAAACCATGACATGTACAGATTACAACCTTAGAATCACACTAATTTAAGTGATTATGTATACCATATAGGGGCAATGTTGGAACTAAGCATCACGATACTTGATTCATTGTCAAGCATTAATGGCGACTCAATGAGTTTCTGATCATCATAGGAGATAATGGAGATATGTGGGGTTTAGGGTTTTAAATTGGAAGCATCGAAGACAGACATTCGAGGGGGGGGGACCCCCGTGAATGTCACGTGATCTCCTTCCTAAGACAAAAGACAGCTGCCCAACAAATAAATCCTAACCTCCGATCTTCTTCTTCTTCACTATCTCTTCCTCCACAAAACCCTAATTGGGCTCCTCTTGTGATGCCGTGTGGAGCCCTGTCACGTGACATTGTGCTCACTTCACAACATACTCACGAGGAGTCGTCTCATTTCACTGTCTATATGGAGCTTGAAAATTGGTACATGGTGGAACATGTAGTAGTTCAAACTTCAAAGAGGAGAATGATTTTCTCTATGCTTTTAGGTAGCTGGGTTTGAACTCAATATGAAACTTAAGAGAATGGTCCAAGTTTAAACTTTTATTTGGATATATATTAATACGTCGTGTTTATTTCTAAGAAAAAGAATTATCAATTATACTTGTTTAACATAGTATCAAATAGAAAATTTTGTGTTTGAATCTCGCCGCTATCTTAGTTATTGAAAAAAAATTAATTTATTAAATATAAAATCTAGCCTACACACGAGGAAGCGTGGTAGTATAAACACTTAAATTATATCTTCTCCAACAAACTTAAACTTTTATGATAGATGATTGTTTAACACAACTAAATTATGCCACGATTGAATTCAAATTTTTAGACTCGGACAATTAGGAGGTAAAGTCTTGAAAATTTTGATTTACTCGTAATGGTTTTCCAAATTTATACTTTTTCTTTGATAAGATCTTCTCGCTATCTGAATAAAGCAGAGCTATTCGGCTTGGCTTAGGTTTGATTCGATTAAGACTTAATTCGAGTTAGGTTCGTGTTTTAACCGAGTCGAATTTGAATAATTTTTTAGACTCATATGTAAAATAGTTGAGTTACTCGGGTTTAGCTCGTTTTAGGCTCAGCTCAAATTCAGTTCATGTTTTGAACGAGTTGAATTTGACCAATTTTTTACGATCTTATAAAAAAATAAGCTCAATAGATTCAACTCAATTATCAACCCTAAATTAGATTCAAATTCAGCTATTACAATTATCATCTTTAGTGGAAGTTGAACCTCCCCACATAATCCGAGAACCAGATTAAACATATAGACTAAGGGTGTGTCTTCAATATCTTAAATCATAGATAATATCTCATCCATTGACTATATTAATAATTGATCATTAACATCGTATTGCTTCAAATAATTGGAAGCATCCAATTTGTAGGCATCTCTTGACTTCAAGAGACCTTAAAAGGCGGAAAGATAAAGTTAAAATCTTCACAACGACTAAGAGTTAATAATCAAAATTTTGTTTGTTTCACTAAAACCACTAACACGCTTTGATTTTCATGAAAATTGAAATAAATTAGTTATTAAATATCAAAGTTTTGAGTTTTTTTATGATTTTCAAAACATTTCTGACACATTTTTTACTTTTGATTTGACCAAATCTTTTCACTCAAGAAAAATTTGATTCTTGGTGAGAGACGAGTGAGAAGAGGAATCTAATAAGAGAGATTGACTTGGAGAGTGCTTGGCATGCAGCTTGTAAAACAATATGCACAATGGATAGCATATTCTCGATACCAAACACTGCTATAACTAGTGGGGAAGGTGGCTTTAAATGGCTGGTGGTACAGGTTCTAACCTACCCTTTTCCATGGTTTCCTAGAAAACCAAGAATCTCAACTTTGTAGGCAACGAACTTTAATTCCACAGAAATAAAAGTTGGAACATCTCATTACAAAAAGTCGAAGGCAAAAGGAAAGATAAATACTTTTCTTTCTCTTTACACGTGCAACACTAATTCTCTCCTTTTCTTTTCTTTCCTTTCCTTTTGTTGTTTCATCTACCTCTCAAGTCATTTTTGATTTCATAGTGAATATTTTTTTTTTTTTTTTTTGGGTACGAGGTTTCTTTTGATCCAGTCAAAATTGTCTATGAACAAACTTTTTGAATCGATTAATGAAGTTAATTCTTTAACAACCCAGACAATCATGGGAGGAATAATAGTTTTGAATATTGTCTTCTGCTATAACCTATGAAGAAGATAGATAATGCCGCTCGATCTCATGGAAAATAATAAAGCATGGCTAAGTTGGTGACTGATTTTACTGGCATGATGCTAAGTTTCTCCAATGCATTGTAAAGGCTATATTTTGTACCCTTTTTTTTTTATCCCTTCCAACTTTAAAAGGGGGGGATCCAACGTTATTTGCCTAGCATTTTCTAGAAAGTAGCAAGCTGGATCGTACGAGGTTGATTCCATTTTGTCTGGCTATTCCTTGGATTCCATTGTTGTTTACACAATTATTGCATTGTTTAGCTTTTTATGTTGGGTTTTGTGATCGTCTAACCACAAAATGGAACTACTGATTTTTCATTGTACACATTTTTGGCAACTAATTGTGATTTCGACGAAATAGCAAATATTTTATATTTACATGTGATGATAAGACCGTATATATTTCACTTTTTTCAAATGTTATACTGGTAAAAACTTGGACCAATCTTTTTATTGATAGTAACTAAATTGTTGAGGGTGACCTACATCCAATTTCTTAGATGGTGCATGGACGTGTGATGCAAAAAGCTCAAATGCCAACTAGTACCGGTGCCACCCTCTCCTCTCCCCCTCCTTTCCCTTCCCTAGTCTGTTTAAAATTGAAGGTGTTGTTAACCATCTTCCCTAAAAAGTTTAAACAGTTAAAGAAGGTATAATTTTAGTATTTTTATTTTAACACGTCCACATGACAAGTTGATGTGATATCACCAAATAATAATATTAAAACAAATAAATTCTACAAAAATTAATAACTAACCTGTCATGCAAGCACAAGTGGGATTGATCTTACTCATTTGGAGTTTTATTATTGATTGGTAATACCATGTCACCGTTGTATTCAATATTTACTCCACATGCAGACTAGATTTGAACCTAACATGTAGAAATCTTTTAATAAATAGGGTGACGGCGAGATTCAAACACAAGATATTTTTTTTTGATACCATGTTGAACAGCTATCAACTCCAAAAGTTTAAGTTATTAAAGTGTGTGTAATTGTAGTATTTATACTTCAATAGGTGTGGTTTAATGGAAAATTTTTTTCTTGCTTCAAGTTTATTGTTTTGGTTTTTGAATTTTGATGAATGAAAATAGTTGGCTTCATGCTCAAAGTAGGAAGAATTGCTCAAACATAATTTATTTTTCTTCTTGTCTTTTTTCTCCTTAATTTATCTTCTTGTCTTTTTTCTCCTTAATTGTTCTATGTAGTTGCACGAATGGATTTGTAAAGATTGTGGCAGACATGAAGAAATCCACACGAAACTCCATTGAAACTGGGTACATGGAAAAAGAGATTCGAAGCAGAGTCAACTGAAGATTAATGGTTAGTGGATTCTCCCCCACTATGGGCTGCACATTCTTTAGAACCTTGGAATGCACCTCAATAATGCATTCATCACCTAAGCAGTGAGATAGGATGAGGTCAAATATGCCTTAATTTAGGATTGGCTTTTTTTTGAGTTATATTTTTTATGACTCTAAACTGTCAAATCCCCTTTTGTGTGTGTTTGTGTGAAATAAATACCGTAAATAACCGTATTGTATTTTAAGTAGATGCTGAAATTGCTTGTATTCATGGTCTTGATGAAATAATGGTAAGTGAATTAGTAGAATTTGAAGAGAGTACCATTGGTATGGAATTGGGATCCCCAATAATTGGAAACATAAGATTCATATGAAAAAACATAAATAAACGGACCTCCCCACTTGCGCTTCTAAAAATAAAGGTACAAGAAAAACCATTTGATCCGCATTTAATCTTTTACAAACTAATAGATGTAAACAAATAGGGCTTCCTTCCACTAAAATGGGTTGATATGTGTGTGTGAGAAAGAAAGAGAGAGTGAGTGTGTGTGTGTATATGTGTGTATTTGTCTTATTTTTATGGGTTGGGAGTGATAGGGAGGACCTGCTTGGAACAAATCCACAACATACAACTGCCATAACTCCAATACAAAATTTGTCTTAAATCCTCACGAGGCTCATTCACTTTTTTTTTTTTTTTTTGGTATTGCGGTTAGGAGTTTTTAAACCAACTTATGCACATCTTAATTAATCTTCTCCTTGATCCGATTAAAAATAGACTATCTACACTAGAACTAAAAAATTAATTACAGATAAATTCATTGTGGTCTAACCTCAAAGAAGGTATTAAATTTCAAATACAGGACATCTGAATTTGTATTTCTTGTTTGTTGGAGTCGAGGCCAATTCACATTAGTCCAAAATATAACAAAGAGTTGAAACAGATAAGTAACCCAAATTCATGACATTTGTGATCCAAATGGACTGGATCTTATGTTTCAGGAATCATATTCGTCTCGGGCTGGGTCGTATGCGATATGTCCAGCTTAATAAGATGATTATCCGGCCCGAAAGCCCATCAAAAGCGGTAGAGCAAAGAATCGGCCGTAGGCCCTAATTGTATTAGCATTACACAGATCTGACCCCTAAGGCAAAAACCTCTCTCTCTCTCTCTATCTCTCTCATGGGTTCTTATCGCCATTTCCAACCTATCTCCAAATGTGGCACTGAAGATCGATCCAATCAAACAGTGGCAGCAGATCTAGATGGCACTCTTCTCATATCCAGAAATCCTTTCCCCTACTACATGCTTGTCGCTTTTGAAGCTGGTAGTCTTATAAGGGCACTACTCCTCCTTGCTTCAGCTCCATTCGCATATTTCACATACCTATTCATCTCAGAATCTGCAGCTATCCAAACCCTAATCTTCATCACCTTTTCCGGGTTGAAAATTCGCGATATCGAGCACATTTCTAGGTCTATTTTGGCCAAATTTTACGCCGAGGATGTTCACCCAGAGACTTGGAGTGTGTACAGTTCTTGTGCGAAGAGATACATAATTACTGCAAACATTAGAATTATGGTGGAATATTTTGGGAAAAACGTCTTAGGTGCTGAGAAGGTTATTGGGACAGAGTTGGAGGTATCAGAATCTGGATTGGCGACGGGGTTCGTCGAGAAACCTGGTGTTCTTGTTGGGGAACACAAAAAAGCAGCTATTATCAAGGAATTCGGCAGAAATTTTCCTGATTTAGGGCTTGGAGATAGAGAGACTGACCACGCCTTCATGTCGATATGCAAGGTTCGAATAACTCACCCCCATTACTATTCTCATCTTTTATTGTGTAATAGATGTCAAGTTTGCCACAAATTTTTGCTGCTATGTTGATGTTGTGACTAAGTTTCGTACATAGTATTAGCCAAAGAACTCATGAATTCAGTCAGACAATTTATCGAACACCTGGGAGGCATTTGGGTTACAGTTACTACTACTCCAAAACCAAGTATAAGGAGTCTTTCTACTTGCAAAACGTATTTTCTTTCTCTGTTGGGTGTACATTATTGATTTTTCAACCTTACCATCTTTTGCAGCTATTTCAATAGCAGGACCGCAATAAACTTAGTTTAGACATCAAAGGTATTAATAAAAATCATGAATTTTGGTAAACTTTTTGTTTGTCAAAAGTAGGAAAAATGAGGAAAACTTTTTATCATCTTTATATTTTTAATCGAGCATAGTGCTTTGTTCATGATCCTCTCTCCACCAGCTCCCCAACACAATATCACAGCAATTGATTTTCTCTAAATTGTATTTATATTGGTCGGTGTGGAAATTTGTTCACCCAACAGTCATGTTTCAACCTCCTCTTGTTCATTCTCTCTCACTCTCTCAACAACAGCAAACAACAGCAACAACATCGTGCTTTACTTTACAATTTTTTTCTTTTTCAGTTCAAAAGATATGGAGAGGACGAAGTAAATGTCTTTGATAGTCATCATAAAAGTGGAATTTAAGGATGATAGTTGCTGCCACTTTCACAAAGAAGCTGCAATTTAATTTGTTTGACATCTATATTCTATAGTTTACATCTTTTTTACTGCAGTCTTGACTTAATGTTGGGTTCCCTCTATCCTCATGAAGTTCTACGCAAAATTTATGATGTCAAAGCCAAAGAAATCCTGATGGGGGATTTGATGAAGTCTATAATTATATACAAGTCTGTTTTATATCAGCTAATTTACTTGATTTTATTATTACAGGAAGGATACATGGTTCCAAGAACAAAATGTGAGCCATTACCAAGAAACAAGCTTCAACTCCAGTAGTTTTTCACGAGGGTCGTTTCATTTAAAGGCCTACACCTATTGTCATCCTTTTGAACTTCTTATTGATGCCAATTGGCATTTTACACTCCTTTAGCGTCTACTTTACATTCCCTTGGTATGAAAAAGTGTCTGATATACCTATATGATGGTAGGAATCAAACATGTAGTCAAGGGCACCCCTCATTGCGGTATACTCTTTGTTTGCAACTACCGTACCATCCTACACCTGTTAGGACCCGTTGTTACTGCCGTTGAACTAGGAGTCTAGGACAAAACATCAGTTGTGTCACTTATAGCTTTAGCAAATTGATTTCACCAGTTGAAGTTGTTGCATTAACAAGGGACAGGGAAAAATGATGCAGAATGTGTCCAATACTATCAAAAAAAAGGTGGCTTAGAACTATATCCTGAAGGTACTACCTGCAGGGAGCCGTTGCTGCTAAGATTCAGTGCACTATTTGCTGAGCTTACTGGTAGAATTGTGCGGGTGGCCATTAATACCAAGCAGAGCTTGTTGTAGGGAATGACAGCTCGTGGGTACAACATGAATCGAATTCCTACTTATGAAATCACCTTCTTGAATCCACTGCCCCCTGAGCTTACTTGCAAAGATGGAACATTAGCCATTGAAGTTGCATATGCTTTCCATAGGTTGGAACCCACAACCATGACCACTGGGCCACTCCTTCACCTCATATATACCAGAGGGTGCTGGCTGGGACATTGAGGTTTGAGTGCAAGTATGCGATGATGGCTGGAATACATGGCCGAGTGCAAGCCAAGGTGAAGAAGCCGAGAAATGTAAATCGATTGATTTCCAATTGATAGAATTTGAGGCCTAGAGGACAGTGGATACATGCCCTCATGTAACACGGTATGTTTTCCAAATCATTCGAATGGATTGTGGTTACCTCTCCTCCTGTAATACAATGTTTTATTTTGGTTTCCCAAAAATCTAAAGGAAAGGGGAACTACGTACAAACTCAAAATAAAAAATAAAAAAAAATTATTTGTGATTGTATGACCATGATAATAACTTGTGCAACTATGCAAAAAACTAAGGATAAAAGTATGTGCACCCAAAGTGTTTATCAAGTTATCTGTTGTTTTTTGATTAATGATGAGACTTATTAATTTAACGGTTGTAGATGGTTTGGTGCACATTTTTTTGTGTGCATACTATTTGCTAAAAATCTAATGTCTTGTCTTTAACTTTGAGGAATAATTTAAATGGTAATAGAGACAGCCAGTAAACTCAGACGTTTTAAGATCGAATGTTGAAAATTTAGTAAGGGGTTAGGTCATGAGAAATTTATCACTTATGAATATTTTAATTTCAGTGTAAATGGTTTGTTTGGATGAGAGAAATGATTAATTGATATACGTGTAAATTTAATTGGAAACTCTGACGGTTAGAGAAAACAAATAAATAAATACGTACCAATATGTTGTCATGCTGCTGGAAATGCAGTACCCCACTAGGTTTCAATTTGCCTGAATTTAAATCCATGGCCCCTCTTCAAAGAAAGCTAGCTCAAATCAAATCAAATGGACAGGGTTTGTGGATTTATGAGTTCTATAAGGAGGAAAAATTGACGATACCTCCTACAAGAATACAAGAATAAAAATTGAACGTTTTTTATAAGAGTGAGTTTTGAATTTAGTCTCCCAGTTTTTGTTTTCTACAAAACAAACAAATTATCTAAGATCGAAGTGTTTCGATCTAAGGCACTATGATGTTTAAGTCAGTAATGGAACTGAGACAATTGCAAGAAGACAAAGAGTGTTCAGCGTACCTTGCATTTTAGTTTTCTTTGTTTTTTATAGATGGTCACCCCTTAGGGTTTATGTGATTTTTGATTCAAGATAGCACACATTCCTTTAATTTAACGATTCAGTTTGGGAAGTTGTTGATATTTTTCTAACAATTCCTTTTGACATCTATAATTTTATTGATTCGTTCATTCAAAATGCCTAAGTTAAAGGGTTATTTTTATCTTTTTATCTTTTGTTTTAAACAACTCGATTATAATGAAAGCCGAGCACTTTTAATGTTTGTCGAACACATTGATATGCTTGGTTTAATGAAAATCAAACTCTTTCATTACTTTGCCAATCACATTAGTCAGTTCAGATAGACCCATTTGACTGAGTAGTTGATGTCCTCGTCACTTGCCTTGTCTTATCAATCTCACGTGGGCTCATTAAATGCCACAACACGTATGGTAATGAGAGCCAACCCCTTCAAGTTCCATCCAAATGGATTGAATTTGATCTAAATTTGAGATAATAAGTATCCATTTTATTTATATTCTACGCAAATATGTTAATAGTTGGAATCAAATTTAAAAACTTAATTCGATCGTTATAACCCAACTAAAATCAAAATTTAAATAATGAAATTCGATAATCGGTGAATATCATATAATCAAAATATGAATTGGCAGACCTATTGATTTGGATTTTGCAAAACCTACTAGTTTTTATCGACGAACTACATTTGCCAAAACACACTCCTAGGAAACATCCCAAACCAGGAGGATAACATTAAAAACAAGAACCAATGGAAAGAAGCAAAACCTTCAGCAGGTAGCCTAGATTAGTTAGTAACTGACTGTAAACTACGTTATAGGGCACTTCAGTCATTTAACCACCAAGCACCACCGAGCCGTGCCTAGTCTTATCTTCCTAGCAGCGCCTCTCTGTTCAATTCAGGCGCTTCACCTTTACTCTCTTCCATTCATGGAGAACGGAAATTACAATCTCACCACCCTCAGCTCCCACCCCAACGACCGAATCAAGCTCAACGTCGGTGGCAAACTCTTCGAGACCACCGTCTCAACCCTCCGGTCCAGCGCCCCCGACTCACTCCTTTCTGCTCTCTCCAACCGGCCGGTCCACGACTCGACCAACCCGGTCTTCATCGACCGCGACCCCGATATCTTCTCCGTTCTACTCTCTCTCCTCCGCTCGAACCGCCTTCCCTCCACTTCTCAAAGGTTCACCAAACAAGAACTCGTTGACGAAGCCATCTACTACGGCATCGAGTCACAACTCAAATCGGCTCTATCACCGTGTCAACTCAATGGAATAGACTCTTCACTTTTCACCACAATCACACCGACATCCGACGGCGTCGTTTCGGACTTCAACGCTATTGACTCCGACGGGTCGGCTTGGATCGCTCATGGAGGCCAAATCTCCATCTACGATTGGAATCTGAGTCACGCCGGAACTGTACGGACGCATTGGGATTATATCAGCTCTGTTCGAAGGATCCGTCCCCAGATTGCGGTAATCGGATCTGAATTCGAATCCGGACTCCACTTTTATAACCTTTCAAATGGCCGTCGAGTCGGCTCAGCCGAGTGGACTGACTCGTCCGATCCGCGAATTTACCAATCAAGAGTCGTTGCTATCGCCGACTCGGTTGATTCCGTCTTCGCTTCCTTCAGTTGTCACCACAGAGAGAATTGTGTTCTCATTGTCGACAAATCAACTACGAAAATCGTATCGGAAATCGGAAGACAATCCGGCAATTCGGCAAAGAATATAGTCGCCGGGAAGCTGACGTATTTACCTGAGATTAATGTGCTTGTCGGAACCGCGGTGACGTCAGGTGCCTTCGGTTACGCCGGTTACATACGGTTGTGGGACCCGAGGTCCGGGGAGGTGGTTTGGGAAACAAACGAGCCAGGTTCGGGCCGAAGCAGTAGGTTCGGGGACCCTTTTGCTGACGTGGACGTCGACAAGCAGGAGCTGACTCTGTTCAAGGTGTGTTCGAAATCGGGGGATTTGGCAGTGGCAGACCTTCGTAAATTGAACGACGATCCTTGGGTATACTTGAGAGACAAAAACCCCAGTATGAGAAATATAGGTGGTGGCTGCAATGCTGTAATTCATTGTTATAGGAAGCAAGTGTTTGTGGGCAGAGAGGGTGAATTGGAAGTCTGGTCTAGAGTGGAGGAGAGAGAAAATTGCAGTCAAAGAGAGAAAAATGAATTGTTTGAAGAGTTGTATAGGAGGAATTATATGGATAAAGAGGGGGATTCGGAGAGAGGGATTATAAAGAAAATTGAAGGTGGTGGGGATAGATTGTTTGTAAGTAGAGAAGAGGTTGAGGGAATTGAGGTTTGGCAAAGTTCCAATATTTCTGGCGTGGTTTCAGCTAAGGACGAGTTTTGAGTCCTCCAAACTGCAAATCTTAAGCTTTACTTTCTCTCTTATAAATCTCCATGCGTGGTGGACCAGAGCAGAGTCTGCCCTCGGAATTAGAGATATGAGCTTGAATCCGTGATGGTAAGGTGTTCTGGGGATGGAGGAGGCTGTCTATTACCATCCAAGTGTGTTTCCAAATTTCTTTCTTTCCTCTATGATGTCATGTCACCATTTCTCCCAATGTACTACAATCAATGGCTTGAGGGAGGGGTGGGAAGAGTAATTGTATTCTGGTGTTGTATGATGAAATAAAGTTGGGAATTTGGTTTTGTGGTGAACCCTTTTGGACATATTGCATTGATGATCCAATTGACAAAGAAAATAACCTTGCTTGACAATGGTTTTGTTATGGATGGCCTGCCTTGTGGTCCAATTAATGGATGATCAAGTCCATGACTTGGCCATCAGACTTGGAGGAAGATGAATTTGTTCTGTGTCAACGTCGAAGCATGATTCTTANTGGTTTTGTTATGGATGGCCTGCCTTGTGGTCCAATTAATGGATGATCAAGTCCATGGCTTGGCCATCAGACTTGGAGGAAGATGAATTTGTTCTGTGTCAACGTCGAAGCATGATTCTTAGGGACAAATTCAGGCTAATGAAAGTGTTGCTGACAATCAGACCTGCTAAGACTGAACTGGTATATGGGTTTGGTAAACTTGTCCAGCAAGCAGATGATCCTGAAAATTTGGTCGCAAAGGCATTGATTAATTAGGATAGTAACAAAAGATTGAACTTCTCAAACATAAACTTTCTTGGGTGGAAGGACTAGGTATTTTCCGTCTATGTCGTTCGGGGACGAACCACACTTAATGCTTGAGAGTCTAGATATTGAATCCCTTACTTTAAACCTGGTTGGGCTGCATTAATTCCTGCAAAGATGAACTTTCCTATGAAATAGATCATCCAGTTGGCTTATCAACTAGCTATGCAAGCTTTTTGATCCAGTGATTGTTTGTCTTTTGGTTTTGCGCTAAGCCAATATGCTTAATTTGCTCTAGCGTAAATTTTCCCAATACCAATGGCTCTTTATCTTCCTTTAGAACTGACTGAAAGTGGCAGGCAGCGGGGTCTTTGGCAAAAACTAATGAATCGGATAACCTGTATCTACTATTTAGTCAAGCAAAGAGCTGGTCTCGTCGTACATCTTTTCATTTCCGGAACACTTCCCATCCACTCTGATTCCAGAGGCACCTGCAATGAGGTATCGGAACACTCGCTAGCTCTTTCCCTGCAATGTTGATTTATTCAATCTATTTTCCTCGTGTAAATGTGTAAAGTTTTTGTGTTTTCTTTTTTATTTCACTTTATTTTATTATTTTCATGATTAAATATCACGAGTAAACCAAATTGTAATTCGGACGGTCCGGTGTGAATGGCCACCATCATTTGTTGGGAAGATAGTAGTTCCATTGGAAGCATTACCTTGAGCCAAAAATGCCCCAAGTTTGGAAATTAAAGATCCCTCTTCAAAGCCTATTGGTGTTGTCCGAGTTTGGAAATCACACTTTGACAGGTTGCTTAGACATAGCAGGAGTGAAAGCGTATGCTCCCACCATTGGAATTGCAGTGGTTCTGGATTCTCATTACTATATGTTCCAAGCGTAGATGAGATTGAAAGGCATGGGTTACTCAGACGAAAATAGAGAGAGAGAAAGAACCTATAGAGTTAACTGCTATCCTTTCGACTTTGAAAAAGTTGTGTGGGGAAAGTATACTGTTCATCATTTTTCACTTAATAATTTAGTCACATTTTGTGCAATAGATGTTTGACCTTAAACAGAAAAGAAAATTAACAACTGTGCAGTAGTCCATAACTCCTGGATGAGATTATCGGTATCGGTCTAATCTGGAAGAGGTCATGTGCAACTTAGCAAATTCATAAGGAGGTAAATACAACTTACCCTGTTCTTTTTGCCATACATTTTTGCTGGGATGAAACTTGATTTAATGAGCGTTGAGGATTGAATATGTATTAGACACCCTTCACACGCAGTTGTCCACGTGAAAGAGAAAGAACAAGTTCAATAGGGTTAAGGAGTAAATATTAGGTATAACGGTTACATTACGTCATTATACTGACCCTCTCTTGTGATGATTATACTGACTCTCTCTTGTGATGATTTTCTGTTGGACACTGATGGTTGGATAACAACACAAAAATGCCTTTCTTTGCCTCATGGTTGTTGGTATTTGGTAACAAGCGGATTGAATAAGNAGTGTTGCTGACAATCAGACCTGCTAAGACTGAACTGGTATATGGGTTTGGTAAACTTGTCCAGCAAGCAGATGATCCTGAAAATTTGGTCGCAAAGGCATTGATTAATTAGGATAGTAACAAAAGATTGAACTTCTCAAACATAAACTTTCTTGGGTGGAAGGACTAGGTATTTTCCGTCTATGTCGTTCGGGGACGAACCACACTTAATGCTTGAGAGTCTAGATATTGAATCCCTTACTTTAAACCTGGTTGGGCTGCATTAATTCCTGCAAAGATGAACTTTCCTATGAAATAGATCATCCAGTTGGCTTATCAACTAGCTATGCAAGCTTTTTGATCCAGTGATTGTTTGTCTTTTGGTTTTGCGCTAAGCCAATATGCTTAATTTGCTCTAGCGTAAATTTTCCCAATACCAATGGCTCTTTATCTTCCTTTAGAACTGACTGAAAGTGGCAGGCAGCGGGGTCTTTGGCAAAAACTAATGAATCGGATAACCTGTATCTACTATTTAGTCAAGCAAAGAGCTGGTCTCGTCGTACATCTTTTCATTTCCGGAACACTTCCCATCCACTCTGATTCCAGAGGCACCTGCAATGAGGTATCGGAACACTCGCTAGCTCTTTCCCTGCAATGTTGATTTATTCAATCTATTTTCCTCGTGTAAATGTGTAAAGTTTTTGTGTTTTCTTTTTTATTTCACTTTATTTTATTATTTTCATGATTAAATATCACGAGTAAACCAAATTGTAATTCGGACGGTCCGGTGTGAATGGCCACCATCATTTGTTGGGAAGATAGTAGTTCCATTGGAAGCATTACCTTGAGCCAAAAATGCCCCAAGTTTGGAAATTAAAGATCCCTCTTCAAAGCCTATTGGTGTTGTCCGAGTTTGGAAATCACACTTTGACAGGTTGCTTAGACATAGCAGGAGTGAAAGCGTATGCTCCCACCATTGGAATTGCAGTGGTTCTGGATTCTCATTACTATATGTTCCAAGCGTAGATGAGATTGAAAGGCATGGGTTACTCAGACGAAAATAGAGAGAGAGAAAGAACCTATAGAGTTAACTGCTATCCTTTCGACTTTGAAAAAGTTGTGTGGGGAAAGTATACTGTTCATCATTTTTCACTTAATAATTTAGTCACATTTTGTGCAATAGATGTTTGACCTTAAACAGAAAAGAAAATTAACAACTGTGCAGTAGTCCATAACTCCTGGATGAGATTATCGGTATCGGTCTAATCTGGAAGAGGTCATGTGCAACTTAGCAAATTCATAAGGAGGTAAATACAACTTACCCTGTTCTTTTTGCCATACATTTTTGCTGGGATGAAACTTGATTTAATGAGCGTTGAGGATTGAATATGTATTAGACACCCTTCACACGCAGTTGTCCACGTGAAAGAGAAAGAACAAGTTCAATAGGGTTAAGGAGTAAATATTAGGTATAACGGTTACATTACGTCATTATACTGACCCTCTCTTGTGATGATTATACTGACTCTCTCTTGTGATGATTTTCTGTTGGACACTGATGGTTGGATAACAACACAAAAATGCCTTTCTTTGCCTCATGGTTGTTGGTATTTGGTAACAAGCGGATTGAATAAGGTAGGTTCTATGATGGCTTTTTAGGCTTGTGTTTATGAGTTAAGGTCTAAGGACTTTATATATACTAATGTACACGTACATTACACGTGAACCACTTTAAATATGAAATATATATATTAAAGCCATTGTTACTTTCTTTCAATCCACATCTAATATAATCCTTGATGTTTATTAGTCAAGAATCACGTTTATAAGAAAATTCTAAGACCTACTAACGAAATCAAATATTAAATAAAGTACTTGGTGCAAATAAATCATTCTCTATTTCATCCTTAAAAACAAACTCGTAGATTGAACAATAGAGAAACATGGCAACATGACTAACTAATTTTTCAAACATCATTGAAACAATTTGAAAGGACATCTCCAGAACTTGTCCATATAGCAACATATCTGATCAAGCAAACCCAATAGTTGCAGAGTTTTCAATTATTGTTAACCCATTTGTGGACCACCTTGGTCCACATTCACCATAATCTGATCCTTAGTTTCACACTAATGGGACATTTCGAGAAGGTTACGGATCAATAACACGTGTCCTCGGTCCTGAGGGACATATTTTCCCCCCGGTGACATATCCTCGACCTTAGTGCCCCCTCTGCCCCAACAGAGGAGTACCTCGATTTTATGATATGTTCCCTCGGTTCCAAGGAGTCACTCACCACCAATCTAAGTCATTGGTTTTTGAGGGAACTAGTGATTGACAGCTGGACTGGCCTAGGCTAGGTTAGTAATAATGAAAACACTCTACATAATGAAGCCAGTATGACAGGATGGATTGGACATTCAGCCATAGAGAGCCGGACACGTGGCATAAACCACGAGGTAAAGAGTAAAAAGATGGCATTGCCCATATGCGGCTAATAAAGACAGACGTTTAATGCACTGACAGTTATTAAGACATCTAGCATGACTTAACCAGCCAAGAAGTAAAAACATTAAATACTCAGGGACCCAAGCATTCAATGCCTCAAACATTGGAGAAAAAGCATTGAATGACCAAACAGTGCGAGCAATTAAGATGAGAGCATTCCCCTTGAAAAATATGGGAACACTGTCTCATCTCTATAGATTATCTACTGACTAGACTATCAGCAATGATTAGCCTTTGAAGGTATAAATAGCTCTTAAAAAT